ATGAATTTTCAACATTAGGGAACCAAAGCCCCCACCCCCCCCACATTTTGAGTTGAGTATAACTCGGCCGGAATTCAAGTTAAAGACCTCGGACCAAGGGGGAACCCATTCTTTTTATGAATACTACCGTTTTCCGCTTTAGGGAACGGGGGCACCTCCTCCCCCCCTTTTTGGATTTTGCTTTTTTGATGGATTTTGGTCCGGGAGAGTACTAACACCCACCTCGCCAAGGGGAAACTCGGGGTTTTGAGTTTTTGATAGGATTTATTGGGATTTTCTTAAATATTGTTTTTATTGATAAGGAAAGTGATAAGAATTTTATTTTATCGCCGCGAGCACGGCGACGCGGCTTAAGAGTCATACATTTGCCTCGAAATTTCATCTGAGTAGGTGGCTAGGTTGGTTAGGCGTTAGGATAGGTGAGTCGAGGGTCGTGGGTTCGAAACCGCCGTCCGGGATTTTCGGTTATTTGCGGCGGCCGTACTAAATCAAATTTCTTATTTTTGCGTTTTTTTTTTTCGTCACATTTATCATTTTTAACGAAAGTGTTAATTTTTTTTTTAAATTTGCATTATATTATTATATATATTATTATTATTCGTTTGACGATATTTATTGGGCAAAAAAATTATTATAATTTACATTTACCGACGCACCTACATGTTTTTTTTAAATTTGCATTATTATATTATATATATTATTATTATTCGTTTGACGATATTTATTGGGCAAAAAAATAATTAAAATTAACATTTAATTAATACTTGATTTTACCGACGCACCTACATGTTTCTTTTATTAACACATTATAATAACGTATAACTAACCTACGTGTAGTACCTACTTGATATATTACAGTTTTTACGTGATTCCGATTTGGTTAAATACTGCTACAGATTATAAATACTATATTAAAAAATAGTACGACTATATTTGCCGTTTTTTTCGAAAATTCGAGTCCCGGGGTGGAGTAGTGTGTCAGAAACGAGAGTAGGTACCGTGTAGGTATCGCTATATACAGGCATATATTATATATACATGCGCCTCGAGGTTCGATTTTTTTCGCAAATCTCGCGTCTTGAACGTCCGAAGGTGGCGGACATGGTGGTCCGCTCAAACGCCCTTAAGAGTCATAGATTTGGCTCCTAATTTCATCTCGGTAGGTGGCTAGGTAGGTTAGGCGTTAAAACGGGTGATTCGACGGTCGTGGTTTCGAACGCCGGCGGGCCGTGTTAAATCGAATTTCTTTTTTTTGCGTTTTTTTTTTCGTCACATTTATCATTTTTAACGAAAGTGTTAATTTTTTTTTTTAATTTGCATTATTATATTATATATATTATTATTATTCGTTTGACGATATTTATTGGGCAAAAAAATAATTATAATTAACATTTACCGACGCACCTACATGTTTCTTTTAATAATACATTATAATATAACTAACCTAGGTGTAGTACCTACTTGATATATTACAGTTTTTACGTGATTCCGATTTGGTTAAATACTGCTACAGATTATAAATACTATATTAAAAAATAGTACGAATGTAATATGACTGCTTCATTTGCCGTTTTTTTCGAAAATTCGAGTCCCGGGGTGGAGTAGTGTGTCGGAAACGAGAGTATGTATAATGTATTCATTTATAGATACCTACGTTCAATAGGATAGTATTACATTTCAATAAAATTTGTTATTCACCAATATAATTATCTATTTGTTAATTTGACTTAATTCTCATAATTAAATAAATATACAAGGTAGGTATATTTTAGAAAATATCCAATCAGAAAATTAGATTTTGTCGACTTATTTGTTATAACCGCGAAAACATAACAATGATTACATTGATTACAGTGAAGCCTAACATAAAACACCTGATAACTGTTCTCTATAATTATCAACAAATACAATTTTATTACCTCCTGTATACTTTTTCATATTTGAACGGCCGTTTCGAGCACTTTTCGCTGTAGGCGGATTGTCCGTTCGGGAATCGGATTTCACCCGAGATGACTGATAACTAGACATTCAAACTCAGAATTCGAATTTCCGATTTCAACACACATACGAGAACCGGACACACACGCCTGGTGCATGGTCTGCGATCCGACGTAGTCGGATTGCCTACCTGACTAGCTACTTCCATACGAGCGACTTACACCCCCACTGCATCTGACACTCGGGAATCGACTTTCACCCGAGATGACTGATAGCTAGATACTCAAACTCAGAATCCGAATTTCCGATTTCAACACACATACGAGAACCGGACACACACGCCTGGTGCATGGTCTGCGATCCGACGTAGTCGGATTGCCTACCTGACTAGCTACTTCCATACGAGCGACTTACACCCCCACTGCATCCGATCCGCCACAGGTGGATTGTCCGTTCGGGAATCGACTTTCATCCGAGATGACTGATAGCTAGACATTCAAACTCAGAATTCGAATTTCCGATTTCAACACACATACGAGAACCGGACACACACGCCTGGTGCATGGTCTGCGATCCGACGTAGTCGGATTGCCTACCTGACTAGCTACTTCCATACGAGCGACTTACACCCCCACTGCATCTGACACTCGGGAATCGACTTTCACCCGAGATGACTGATAGCTAGATACTCAAACTCAGAATCCGAATTTCCGATTTCAACACACATACGAGAACCGGACATACACGCCCGGTGCATGGTCTGCGATCCGACGTAGTCGGATTGCCTACCTGACTAGCTACTTGCATACGAGCGACTTACACCCCCAGTGTCCCCCACTGCATCCGACACTCGGGAATCGACTTTTACCCGAGATGACTGATAGCTAGACACTCAAACCCAGAATCCGAATTTCCGATTTCAACACACACACACCAGAACCGGACATACCCGCCCGGTGCATGGTCTGCGATCCGACGTAGTCGGATTGCCTACCTGGCTGGCTGTGTCGTACGATCGACTTGAATCACGTGACTTACGACTAGACACTCTTCCGAGTTCAAAAATTACCGCTTAACCAGTGCTGCCAACACGACAAAACACAATAACCGACGACCCCCCATTCCCGCCGCAGGCTGGATCAAAAAAACCCAGCATCGCCGACAAAGATGCACCACCGCCCACACAGTCTTTCCGCCGTAGGCGGGATGACAAACACCGGAATCTAGTATATTTATAAAGTATATATTTAAAGTATATTTAAAAGTCACCAGCTTAAATTTAACCTAAAGTAGATAATATTATTATGAAATTCCTACACAATTCCATGATCATACCTAAAATTATTGTTTGTCGGTCTCGATCACGGTTGTAGATTGTCGTCGCCAACCGGAGCAGGGTATCCGTAGAGACTAGAGAGGGCATATCAATGTACTGAAGTTAGAAACAGTTTTTGTTCAAATTTTTGATCAGAAAATCATATCAGCTATTGACGTTTTTAGTTATTCGTTCTTTTTAAATTCTCGAGTTTCAAAAACGTGTCGTCTTGGGTCTTTCTGTGTCTCTTCACCTCAATTTTCGAACCAATCCCTAAAAGTAAGTAAAACATTTAATAATTGGATGACAGATGGTGTGGTTAGGGGAGAGGTCGGGGCACTTTCCGACATTTAGTAATTAAGGCCTTAAAAGTAAAGCCCCATTGTCGGGGCCCGTATTTTATCTGATGCTAGTAGTTACTAAATAAAATCCAATTTTTTTTTAAATAAGTAACATCACACATGCGACAGTCTAATTTTATTTACGTACATAATAGTTAAGTTTCTATAGTAGCCGCTGTACACAAATCATTGTACCTACTCGTGTCTCGTAATAATAGAACCTTCCTGTCGATCATCGTCTCGAGGGAGACTTTTACGTAATCAATTTCTCGGTGGCGCGTCGTCTATTGTGTGTGCTGTGTGCAGTTACTATTGCGACCGTTGTCGTTTAACACTTAAAATGACTGACTGTGGGCTCCAAGGTAATGATGCCCCTTGGGGTGTGTTGTATGTTCTGTCAACAAAGCCAGCTTTCACGGTCCACTGACTCCTTCCCACAGATTATGCACGTTATGTGCTTGTAATCTATATAGTAGGTTGTATTTTAGTACTGAACTGCTCTTAACTGTTAATTATTGTGGGTATTGTGTTTGGTCTAAAAAATTTCGCCCATCAGCCTTTGCCGTGTCACCCTGTTTGACTCTAAATTTTCAACACAGTCGGTCTGTAAGCTTATCGCTATATAGGCAATATTTGTCATTCGTCCACTTCATCAATATTTTTGTTTGAATTCTCACAAGACTGTACAGCAATTTCTTTGTATAATAATATTATTATAACATTATAATAACAAATAATATTAGTATTATTACAAAATGCTGTCTGGGGTACTAAATTCTATACCTACTACTTTGTGTTTGGCCTATATTAATTTGGTTTTTGTTGACGTAAAACAAAATTAAAGGCTTCTTAAGGTTAGGTTTGCTTTCAGATTAAACTCGGATTCAACATAGCTCATATATATTGTAAAAGTTTTTATATTTATCACCACATAAACCAAACAGACATAAATATCTATGGGTGATACCTATAATTATCATTGAGTGCATAATATTGTAAGGTATACTCATTTACTATACATTATATAATATGAAGGCCATAATATATACTATGATATATTGTTAAAAAGTTTCTAAAAGTTACATTGTGGCAATGTGTGTTAGGTACCTATATGACATTTGTATTGTTTATTAACTTAAATTTAAAAAAAAAAAAAATAGGTGGTAAATATATATAACAATTTTGCCGATACATTTTGAAAACTATAAAATGTTATACATTTTTAAAATTTACTTATCTTTGTTGTTAGATACATTAAATAATAAAAGAATAACACAGAAATTAATATAAATTATAATAATTTACATAAATAAACTCCTTTACATGATAAAATACCTAAATATTTACTTGTATTACATCAGGGTATGAGTTTTCTTATAAACTTAACTATTGTTTTTTTAGGTAAAATGTCGTTGGAGATTTTAGCTCAAGAAAAAGTGTGGCTCGATAAATCAAAATATGCTGATGCAGAACGTGTGTATTATGAAAGACTATCAAAGGTAACTGATACTTTTATTATTATGATTAATACAACACATCTATTTATCTATTATAACTCTATCCGCTTATAATGCATTAATTTTTTTGTTCTAATTTATTTATATAGAGATATTGCTTTTACATACTATATTTTTCATCAATATTTTCCCGATTCGCACATATACTAACACATAGCAAAAAATGTGTCTATTCGACTCACACACCAGTTAATGGGATAATTTTTTAATTGCGTATAGCTAGATTTTTATTTTAATACATACATAGGTACCTTGAATCTCAATACATATTTTTAAGTTTTTATTAAAGACTAATTTATTTTATTAATTTTATTTTATTTCTAATTGCGTATAGCTAGATTTTTATTTTTATACATACATACCTTGAATCTCAATACATATTTTATTGACTATTTTATTGACCCACTGTCTTCTGATTATTATTATTTATTTAAAACCCGATGTTGCAGCTGAGAATGAACAAAAACGACTTGGTTCATAAGAACGCCAACGGCGCGCTGCTCCAACAATTGGATAAAGTCCACAAACCTCCAACGCCGCCCTCCAGTAATTTGAACAACAATGCCGTCGTACAGGTAATTTAATCCGAGCATCTTTGGTTGCAGCCCGATGAGTGTAGTTGACTTGCTGTGTACTTAATACTTATCTATTCTCTACTCTTGTTTGTGTTTCAGAGTCAGAATAAAAAAGATATTGAAGTTGTAGCGATTGACTGCGAAATGGTCGGCATAAATCCCGATGGACGGCAAAATATGTTGGCTCGTGTTTCAATTGTAAACTCTAAAGGCAAAACCATTTACGATAAGTTTGTCAAGCCCACAGCGACAGTGACAGATTATCGTACCCCGGTGAGCGGCATTCGACCTGAAAATATTGAACACGGGGAGGTATTTGTCAAAGTTAAAAAAGAAGTCACCCAAATACTCAAAAACAAATTATTAGTAGGTCATTCACTAGAACATGACTTGAGGGTATTGACGATTTCACACCCCAAACATATGATTAGAGACACCTCAAAATACTGGCAATTCAAGCAATTGACGGAAGGTCAACTACCAGGTCTAAAACAATTGGCATTACATTTTCTTGGAGCTAGCATACAGGAAGGAGAACACAGTTCTGTTCAAGACGCCAAGGCAGCACTACGGTTGTACATGCTGGCTCGGAAAGATTGGGAATTATTGTTAAAAAAAAGAAGAAGCCGTCCTAGAAATAGAAATAAACCACAAAACAAATCGCAGGGAAAGCATAAATAGTAATTTTTTTTTTAGACTAAAATTTTTTAATCTTAAGTTTTATTTTGAATAATTATAAGATTGTTTTTGAGATTATTTTACTGTAAAAATATTTAAAATTTCATTTGATACATTTTGTTGGTTAAGTTTATAATATTTAAAAACTTATTTCTCCTAAACATAATATTATTTTAATTGAAACCTACTAAAAGTATTGTTTTAATACAGATGTCTCTAATGCATAAGAAAATCTGGATTATGTTGGTTTTTTATTTTGTCGATTTTGTATGTAGTGGTGACAATGTTGTTATATTCAAATCACTTAAGGGGGCTGGAGCGTGATTCATTTTTGGTCAAAAACATAGCTCACGACTTCAATCACTACGCCCAATATAATGTTTTGATTTTAATTTTGAAAGCAGATTTGAATTCGTCACTAAATTATCTATGCTTTGACAATTTTATTTTTCTGATTTTTATTTTTTTTTACTTAGGAATTTACTAACAAAAAGAGTAAAAATTGATCATTTTTATAATTCAAATTTAAATCCATTGATATTGAATATGAAAAATGTACGACAGTCAAAGCATAGTAAATTTAGAGGAGAATTCAAATATGCTTTCTAAATTTAAATCGGAACATTCTACTAAGCGTAGTGATTGAAGTCATTGGCCGTATTTTTTGAAAAAAAAAATGTTATTAATTTTATAAGCCAATATGTGGTTGACATGTGCATGCGCGTAGGTAAAATCACAGCCGTACATATCCGGTCACTATGATGCCCCTATACAACGTAATCGGTATTATTCGGGGAATCACACACAATTATTTAATGATTATTATTTATTAGTACCTATTGTAATGTTATGTACAGAATATATTATATAAAGGTATAGGTAATAGGTTTTATTTCAGTGGTATTATAATATTCATTATGATTATTCAATAAAATTATATTTTACATTATACAGGTATACCTGTTTAAAAATGTTGGTCTAGACACTCGATGTATTGATATTTTTATATATTTTAGATTCTGAGTGAAACGATGAATGTATTGATTTTACAATGATGTGTGTTTTTTTATTTTTTTTTGTGTCTGTCATCACGTTTTAGGACAGTAAAAGTGCTTGGATTTTCTTCATCAGTAGCTTTTCTGATAGGAAAGTGAATCTAGTTGGTACTTTGGGGGGTCAAAAGTATAAATTTCCCAGTAGTTTTCACAAGCGCCGGGAAAAACAACATAAAAATTAAGGAAAAACGAGAATTTTTACGCAAAATTGGTTTTCCAAAAAATCGATTTTGGTTATTGGTGTAACTATAAAACAAATGAACGTATATACATGAAATTTTCACTGGTTGTTTATATTTGCATTTTCTATACACGATAACATTTTCAAAATATTTTGATTTATTTTGAACTGTTTAGGGACATTTTCATTTTCCATTTTTTCTTAGTTTTTTTTCTAAAAATATCAATAAAATTGTATTTGTTGGTTGCGAAAGCTTGAAAATTTAATAGAAGGCTCCTAATATGTTGTTTCAAAGGCAAATGAAAAATATTAAAAATCCTTAGTCACAATTTTTTTTTATAAGCATTTAAAGTTCAAAAATTGACAAAATATGGAAAAATCACGAAAATTAGCAAATTATTTTGAGTTAAGAATTCGTAAAAATTTTTCTTTTTAAATCTAAGATTTGAAAATGAAACACAAGATTCCTTATAAAATTATCTACCTTTATCAATAAAAAAATCTCTACCGGACAGTCAAATTAAATTTTTATGAGCGTTTGAAATTCAAATTTTTACAACATTGGATTTTCACTCGATTACTCATGTAGCGATTTCCTTATTTTGTTGCAATTCAAAAACGAACAACTGTAGATACATGAAAATTAGTATTTTCTATACACCATACAATTTTGAAAATATTTTGACTCTTTTTGAGCTGTTTATGGACATTTACAGCTTTCAATTTTTTTTAGTTTTTTTTTCTATAAATATCAATAAAGTTTTATCTGTTGGGCCAAAAAGTGTAAAAATTTAATACAAGGCTCCTGATATATTGTTACAATAACAGTTGAAAAATATTAAAAATACATAAGCACAATTTTTTTTTATAAACATTTAAACATCGAATTTTGACAAAATTTATCAAAATCTCGAAAATTATCAATCGTTGGAATTAAAAAATTATAAAATGTTCAGTTTTTATAACTAAGAGTTGAAAATTTAAAACAAAGATTCTCTTAAATAATTCATACTGTAACCAAAAAATCTAAAAAATATATAAACACACTTATTTTTTACAGACATTTTAATTTCAAATTTAGACAAAATTTGATATTTAAACCAAGAATTACGATTTTAGTTATTTTGTTGTGATTGAATAATATTATTCGTGGGTACTTGAAACTTCTAAAGTGTACAATTATATTATATCTATGATAGTATCACGGTTTTTGTTGATGTATAACGCGTTATAAGTATCTAATGGATATTGTGATATGATTAATTTGGAATTTATTATAGGTACCTATTATAGGTCAATTTTTTGTTTAATACCATAGATATGTTAATAATTTGTCTTAAACCTAGACTGACATACCGTCTTCGCTCAGAATCGTTTTTCTTATACAATGATATTTTATCATTGAATTCAAATTTAATAGCATCCATTATACAGTGACCCACTTGTAACCTACTGTACAGCAGAGCGGCATCCACTTACCCACCTTTTTATATTTATATTTTTTATTTTATAATATATGTTATAACTTTCAAAATATTTTGATCTTTTTGAGCAATTTATCATACTGAAAGTTTACAAATTATTTCGCAGTTAAAAATGTTCAATTTTTTTAGCTAAGGAAAAAATATATTTAAAAATTTAAAATTAGATTCTACGTAAGTAATTCATACTGTAACCAACAAATTTAAAAAATATATAAAAACAGTTTTTTTTACAATTATTTGAAGTTCAAGGTTGGTCGAAATTAAGTATACCTATGTAGTGCAGTAATTAAAAAAAACCATTTACTATGAAGTATTATCTATTATTTATTACCATTTAATTAAGTACAATAATATTATTATTATGTTAACGTAATTAGGTAATACTAATTAGTATTTAGGTAACTTAGGTAGTTATTGTAAATTCGGTGAATTGCAGCATGTCTAATGACAATGGCTATTATGTTAAACCAGTTTTTGAACGGATAGTGAGTTCGGAGAGTACACAATTACGAATTACACACACTAATGTTCATTTACTTCCAACACATTGACATGGACCCATATGCACTGCAATATAAATTGCCTAGTTTTTACTCCTTAGAATGGACTACGCTTCAGCCCCCTTAAGGGGTAATTTTGTTATTAAAAATAAAAGCGACTAAAATATTTAAAAACAACCAAATTATCAATCACTAAGTTAATTTGAGTTCAATGTTATACAAAGGTAATCAAAACCCTGTCATGTAAATTATTACCTAAAACTAAATTAATAATTTTTATTTTTTATAATATTTGTAAACACTTAATATCTTGATATCTGTTTATCTTTTATATTTTGAAAGTACAAAAGAATCAAAAACTGATTGGTATTTTATTTTAAAATACTAGTTATAAAGTAAATTAGGTTAAATATTTTTGTAGAAAATTTTAATAACAAAACAATACTCTATTGACGGCCATTGTTTCCTATTATGTTATTTACCTGTTACCCACATTTAAAATAGTATTGTATAAACTATACACTATTTAAGTTAAGAAACATTTGATGACCAACTTGTGTACACTAAGGAGGCTTAATTAGCTAGCAGGCATGCAGATGGTAGCCTTGGTGTTGGTGATGGACTTTTGTTGATTGATCTGAAACTGATTGCAGCAAGTAAACTTTTAATCATAAATACTAAATAGAGTTTATGTCTTATGTGAGCAGGGTTAATAAAATGTTATTTATTAATAATAATTAATAGAATATTTGGCAGCATTAGAAGCAATAAACACAAGGCCTGTTCAAGTAAATCTACTGAATGACTCGTTTAGATATGTACATTTACATTAACACGTTGAACGCCGGTGTCAACCCGTGGTATATAACATAGAGTAACCTATTTTGTATTGAGTCTTTTTTGGTGGCTATAGCTGAACACCTTTGAAATTTCTATAGGACATTCATAAGCGTATTGACAATTCCGTAAAATCTACTAATTTTACAATTGGCGATGGCCAAATCAACGTCGGCGTTCCACTTGTTAATAGGTCAATTTTTAATACAAATAACATTATGTTAACATTTTTACTGTATTTCTATAGCAGGATTTTAAAGTGATTGTTTATTGCAAATAAATGTAATGGCAAAAAAAAATTATAATATTAACTAAAAATAATCATTTCAATTTATTGTTTTTTTTTTTTTTTGCAAATCAATGTAGAACATTTTTAACATTATTAACAGATAAAGACATATAAGTAATTTTACACCTATGCTGAAATAAATCAATTATTTGGGTCCCAACATATCTTCTGGTCTGACACATTTATCAAATTCTTCGGTTAAGTATCCAAGTTGTAAAGCAGTTTCTTTCAGCGTCAATCCATTTTAATGTGCTGTTTTTGCTATTTTAGCAACCTGAAATTTAAATTAATTAAATTTATAAATTTTTCTTACTATGTATTTAAATTAGGTTTATGAGCCATAGACTATCTTATTTTATCATATCCTACTTGTGGATTCAAGGCAGTAACCAACATAAGAGATTTTGTAAAAGATGAGAAATGTTGGAAAAGTGTCATTAGAATTCTGACTTTTATTTACATGGTTATTAGAATGAACTGGAATTTTTGATCCCAATTCTCCCCCCCAGAATTTCAATAGCTCTATTGCTAATCACCTGAAATACATTTCATTCAACTGTAAGGTTTTTGTTGTATCTTAAAATTTAATCAATTGGTTTGTACATACTTCATATGTGTTCATATTTGACTATGTACCAGATCTAGTTTGCCATATTA